TCAGCCCTTCCTTCGCGCTGGACCGATAATATGTCAAGCCTATTTTGAGGCAGGAAAGTTAATGTCAACGAGCGATTATTTTGTCGTAATTAATTACTGCTGTGTACAGCGTAGTTCTGCTTCGAAAAAGCGGAACTTCCGGATCACAGAACGTCAAAGCTGATATTTCGTTCATGCATGGTACAAGTTTTGAATACATTATTGTCAACCTATAGGTTATTGAATGTACTGATGAGTTCTTATTTCAACCATCTCAGGTTTCCTGTTCTCCAAGCATTGATAATGGTTGACCTACGGTTCTCCGGCATGATGTGCCTTCCGTTAAGTTTTGCTTTATTCTGCATCACTGGAGGAACAGCGTCTTTCAATACACACGTGTTTGTTCCCGAAAACGCCGCAGTAGGAACAGTCGTTGCCCGTCGCAACACTTCCCTGCAGCTGGCATGGGTTACATACAGACTAAACGGTGGTGATGATTACGAGAGGTTTAGGATAGCGGAAAGTCAAGGTGTCATTGAAGTTGCCAATCCATTGGATTATCAAATACAGTCGACTTATAAATTACAAATCCTTATTGGTAACGAACGCAACTTGGAGGAAAAAATTAAAATCTGGAACCTGACTATTCATGTGCTGGACGTGTCTGGATACCCTCCATACTACAACAAAACGTGTGAAACCCCTGAAAGGACCTCAGGTCTACCTCGATTGGTAGAGTTTACTGACTACTCAGTAGATTTGTCAACAAGCATTGGAATCAAACATAAAGACTCGGGCGATATTATCAATATCGGGAGGCATAGAGTATTTTTCAGGTTGGAAAATGACAGATGTGAAGTGAACTTTACTTTCGGAATGAGCAATGCTAAAGATGTGGGAACTATGCATCATTTTTTTAAGAACCGCTATAGAAATCTGACGCAATACTCAGAGGAAGGGCAAAACGAGATATCGATTATTGTGATTGACAGAATTTCAGCAAGGGACGGGAATGATTTACAAATCATTATGAACTTCACTGAACTCGTTGCTGCCAAAGGCGTAGATCCGACGTGGATCAATGAAATGGAATACAGGTACTTTTTTCTCGTCACCCTTGGCGTACTTACAGCTACGCCGGTTACATTTAAAGGTGCATGGATGAATATAATGGGTCCAACTCCGTACGGAAACATGAATGTCACAGCTCAAATTGCTTTCAAACTTACTGGTTGTCCTCATGGAAAATACGGTGCGTTTTGTGACAAAAACTGCACATGTAAGAACGAAGCCCGGTGCCATGGCTTTAACGGGGCCTGTCTGTGTGCTCCTGGTTGGAAGGGCGTGGCATGCGATATACCAACCCCAGCAGTCGCTATTGACGTCCTACCAGAAGGAAACATGTATATAACCGGGAATGTTTCCCTACAATGCCGGCCTGTCCATATCAATGTCTCGTCCACGACGTGGTGGTTTCGGTCATCTCGCAACAACAGTTCCAAAGTTTTCATCCAAACTTCCCGTAACATTTCCATCCACCCGATTCTACCAGAGACCAACGGTGTGTACACGTGTGCAGCCGGCACACCTAATGGACAGATACTGGAGAGAAACTACGTCTTAGAGGTGATGGAGTGTCCTCCCGGTCTTCAGGGGGAGCGTTGTGACAGGCCGTGCGACTGTCTACATAACGTTGGCTGTGACCGTTGGACGGGGGTGTGTATGTGAGGCCGGCTGGACAGGTCCTACTTGTGACACGCCATGTCCTTCGGGAACATTCGGGACAAACTGTGAAGAACTGTGCCGATGTGAGAACGGTGCGGAGTGCAGTCCTTCAACGGTACTTGCATCTGTACCGCCGAACCTGACCGGAAAATACTGTGAAAGGAAGCAAAGAGGTCCGATCTACACGGCACAGCAAACTTCAAGATTTTTGATCATGCTCGTTTTCATCCTTCCCGTCCTTTTTGTAACAGTTGCTTGCATAGTTATAAGAAGAAGGAGAGGAAGAAAATTTCTAAGAGAACAACGTCAAGAAGAAGTCAATGAAGAACTCCAGCTTCTTGGTGTCAATCAACAACCGTACTTGGCAGAGACGTTAGTACCATGGGAAAGAGATCCACAGAACCTGACTCTTGGTGAGTTGGTCGGGGTTGGGACGTTCGGACATGTTGTAGAAGGGACCTTACAACAGCCGGGAAAAGTGCAGATAAGAGTAGCCGTCAAAACTGTGGATCTCAACGTCAAACAAGATTACGTCCATGCAGACTTTTATCGTGAGGTGCACATACTGGTCCATCTTTTTGACCAATCCTTACACATGCAGGAAGATGAAAAAATAATGCACCCAAATATCATCCAGTTGTACGGTGTGGTTACCCTATCTGACCCGAAGAGATTAATACTAGAATTCGCCCCTCACGGAGACCTTCAGATGTACCTGACCAGACTCCGTGACGACATCGACGCGGTGAACTGGGCCACTCTGCTCGGCTTCGCCGTCGATGTGTCCAAGGCTCTACAGGAGTTAGAACGAGTCAGGATTGTCCATCGCGACGTGGCCGCCCGGAACGTGGTCATCACAGACCAAATGGTCGCTAAGCTGGCGGACTTCGGTTTGGCCCGAGACGTCTACACCAACACTGTGTACGAGCGGACCAATCATCACGGGCGGGATGAGTTACTCCGCTGAAGTGGATGGCGCTGGAGTCTCTCCAGTATGGAGAGTACACCTGTCAGAGCGACGTGTGGTCGTTCGGTGTCATGCTGTGGGAGATTGCCAGTCTAGGAGAGGAGCCTCGCTACCCTGGACCTTTCCGACCGAACTGTTGTCAGATGTTAAAAATGCTCAGACACGGAATCCACATGGAGAAGCCAGAGGGCTGCTCCATGGGCCTGTACCGGCTGATGTGTAAATGCTGGCGTAACATTCCTGACCGCAGGCCGACTGCTGATCAACTTCAAGTAAGTCTTGCTAATCTGCTCGAGGACGTTGAAGATGGAGTCCAAGCAGATGACAATGACCTTTGTGTATGGGAAACTACTGTGTGACCATAATATAATGTAAGTGCACATTGCCTGGGAAAAGGAGGATCAGGCCCAATTTTGAACTTAGCTTTCCTCTTTATTGACGCTACCCACCTAGTAAATTTCACCACGATCCAACACACACACACACACCAAAGGTCCACTGGAGTGACCTTTGCAGCCGCCTCCCCCACAAGGCCCATTTTCGAACTTGACCTTCATCTCCCCGATGGTAGCTTGACTACCAAAATCATGAGGAGTTAGGCCGCATATATCCACAATCACAGTTAGGTTGAAGGAAGAGCAATGTATTAAACCAGACCATGATCTTCTGCATCAGGTTTTCTTGCACAGTTTGAGACAAGAAATTTCACGACACAAAGAGTTACATCGATTCACGTTTGCAACTTTTATTTTTGTTAAGAATG